AGTAGAATGAGAAGAAAACAAGCTGGAAGTGGCGCTGTGGCTCAAGTGGTAGAGTGCTAGCCTTGAGCTGAAGAGCTGAGGGACAGCGCCCAGGCCCAGAGTTCAAGCCCCCCCACCGACAAAAATAAAGAAATCACACATTTATTCGGCAGTGGCTGATGTGAAGTTTAAAGCTCCTAAGGCGATGGTGAAATCTGGTATGACCTAGAGAGAGGATCTGCCCTTCCAGGCGCGGCCAGCCATCAGCGTCCCGGTGAACGTTGACCTGGTCACCTACTCGGCCCAGGTGATCGAGAGCCCTAAGCCCCACGCTGCGATCCTCAGCTCCCCGGCTGGACAAGGTGAGGCTGCCCACTCAGCTCGGATTCTGTGTCCTACCTGGAGCCCCTGTCACGTCTTAACATCCACCGAAAAGGATCGCATTACGATTTCTTTTCCTCTCCTAAAAAAAAAGTTCCTGCCTTCCCCCGAGCCCGCCACGTACCGCAGGTACAAGGTTTTTTGGCTCTTTGCCTCCCCCGTTCAGTTCCCCCTTCTCTCCGCCTTAGGTGGCAGGAAAATCCTTTACCTCCGACCAATCCCACGGATGCCGAGCCGCGCGCGCGCGCGCCAACTCCCGCTTTTTCAGTGCACATCATTGGCCACCTCCACCTAGGCAGGATGACAGGCAGCTACGCCGGCCTATTGGAGGAGGAGGCGGAGGCCTCTCGGCCCTCCCAAAGCTGCTTTGTTAGGGGCTCCATCGCCGTTCTCCAGCCCGCCGCGCTCGGGCCGCCCCACCTCGCCCCCCGCGCTCTCCGCCGGTTGCACCACCCGAGCCCCGTGGGAAGTCACCCGGGAGCGCGCGACGCCAGCATCCTCCAGCCGGGGCGCCGGGATGCAGCGCCGGTACCCAGCGTGCGCCTGTTGTCATCACTCTCCAGTCCAACTCCGAACGCCCCGCTCCCGTACTCCACGCCTCTGATTGGCTACGCGTAGGCGGAGCGATTGTCAGGAGGACCAATCGGAGCCCGGTTTCCCACGGGTTCCCGAGGCTCCGCCCCCAAGGCTGCCGTCCTGACAGCCCTCATTGGCAGACGGCGAGCGAGCCGGAGCGCGGCGGGGCCGAGCAGCGCCGCCGCCGTCGGGCGCGCAGCTCTGCAGCGCCGAGATCGCTTCGGCGCCCGCAGCCCCGGGGGGCCTCGCGGCCCTACGTGGTGCCGAGCCAGGTCGCGAAGATCCGAGTCTAGCGTCGCCGGTGAGTACCTCAGGCCTGAGAGGGAGCGGGCCGGCTGGCCAGAGCCACCGGCGGGCACGGCGAGGAGGATGCCCGCAGCCGCGGTGCCCGTGACGGGCACGTCCCGATTCCCACCTCCGGCTCGCTGGGGCTCCCGGCGGGTCCTAGCTCCCCCTGATTGGGCTTCGCTCGTATTGTTTTCTGCGGGGGGTGATGCGAGGAGGGACGGTATCCCTGGCGTGTCGCGGTCCCCAGAGGCGCCAGGTGCCCGGCGCCGAATGGGAGTGACACGGTCCAGGCGTCGGTGCCCGGGTTTCCCGGCCCCGGGAGGTCGGCGCTGACCCGCGGCGGCCGCTTCGCGTGCATTTGTCGGCTGATTTTTAATCAACTTCGGGGAGGGCGTGCTCGTGTGTGTGCCGGGGGGAGTGGTCTGTGGTCTGCGGGTCTGCGTCCCCGACTCGGCGGGCACGTCCGTGGGCCTGGCGTGGGGACCACGCTGCCGCGGGGCGCTCACCTTGACCATCCGTCCGTGTGGCTTCTCCGGGGCCGGGCACCTTGGGCCGAGAGCCCAGGGGCGGGCGCACAGGATGGGCAGCCGGAGCAGGGCCAGGGAGGGGGGCGGGTAGACAATGAGTGGTCCTGGCGGTGGGGGGGCAGAGGGTCCGGTGCACTGTGCCGTTGGGTCGCATCCACGACCCCCCCATTCCCCCGTTCCCTCTCCTGCTCTCGGATGTCGCTGTACCCCGAAGCTTGCTGTACCCCGAAGCTTGCCAGCCGGCTGGGGACCCGCGTGGAGTCCGCTTTTGTTTACAAGACCTCGTCCGGGGGTGAGAACTGCGCTCCCCGGGCTCTGTGGCGGCCGCGGCCGCGTGCCCTCTGGAGCGAGAAGTTGATGCTTGCTGTCAGGTGACGCCTCCCCCCTTCTCCCCCCGCCCCCTGCTCCACAGCCTGGGGAGGGGGGCCCTAGGCTTTAGGGGAAAGACCCAGCGCCTTGTCACACCCCGCGCCCTCAGGTGCCCTGCACCCTGGGGGCATGGGTGGTTTGGTCTGAAGGACCTCGGAGTGGTGGCCGTCGGGGCTCCCGGTCCTCCCTGTCCCTTTCCAGTCATGTCTTCTGGTCGTCATTCGTTGGCTGGCAGGGTTGGAAGGATGGCGCGAGCCCTTGGGGACACTGGGCAGTCCGTGCCTGTCTAGTGGTACCCACCTGGATCTGTGTCCCGAGCCTGCCGAGCTGCAGCCGAGGGCTGGGCCTGAGGCCACACAAGCCCGACCAAGAAGCTGGCCCAGCCACTCATCGCAGTCTCAGTTTGCGAGCATGAAAAGTAGGGATGGGAACCTTTCTGATGTGGGTGCTTAAGCAACAGTACCGTTAAGTGTGACAGATCAAACACTGTAGTAATGCAGAGTCTCTGAGAGAGGAAATGTGAGTGAATCCTGTGTTATTCCTCCCCCCCCCCACTTTGTGTGTGTGTGTGTGTATTCTCTATCCTTCCAGCCCCAAGTTTATTTAAAAGGCATGAAAGATCATTGCTCATGCCTGAGACCCTAGCTACTCAGGTGGCTCAATTTGTGATCTGAGGATCACAAATTGAAGCCAGAATGGGCAGGAAGCACTGTGAGATGCTTACTTCCTGTTAAACAGCAAAAAGCTGGAAGTGGAACTGTGGCCCAAGTGGTAGAGCACCAGCCTTTAGTGAAAGAGCTAAGGACAGGACCCAGTCCCTGAGTTCAGTATTGACACACATGCGTGTGTACACACACGGGCATGAAGGACTGCACTTTTCAGCTTCAAACAGAATTTATTTTAGTTGGCCTGTGATTCAATTATACTTATCTAATCGCTAGGAGCTCCTTTTTATGTGTTTGATTTTCCATAGGTTTTAATTATTCCTTCTTCCTCAAGACTGTGATACGGTCCAAGATACAGGCCCTGGTGGGAAGAGGTTGCTGGTGAACCAGTAGCAGATTGAAAGAGCTGGAGGAAGGTTTGAACAAAAAGATCTGGAGGCTGTGAGGAGCATTGGCTTATAGAGCTGGTATTGAAGCTCCGTTGTGTAGCTGAAGTTGGTTATATCACTGGATTCCTGTATAGTCTTCCTTTGTGCCTTGAAGTAGAGAGCGTGCTGAGGAGGAGCCTCTAAGTGGTAAACACTGAAGTTGCTAAGTAATTATGTTTGAATAGAGGGGAAATAAACTTAAGGAGGAGGCTGTTGAATAGGCTGGAAAGGTAGATGTGAACAAGCAGTTTCATTGAATACCTTCAAAAGTTCTCAATGTGTTTTGACTTGTGTTTCCTCTGGTCTCCTAGTTTTGTGTATTGATCATTTTGTTTAGGAAAAGAAGAGAAACTAGTTTTGTATTGTAATCATTAAAAAAAAAAGAACTACTTAAGATAGACAATTTCAGGCTTGTTGACAGACTGACATATTACTGAAGCAGTGCTTCCTGTTTTCACACCTTGATTTTTGCCTGTTGAGACAGATTATTGAGCTGGGTCCAATAACCCATCTTTTGAATGTAGGCCTTTGCCTCCAATCAGAGGCCTTTGCTAGCCAAAAACAAGCAAATAAACAAACATAAACCAGGTAAAAGATTTGTAGCCTGACCAGTGATTGCGGAAACCCCTGGGGACTGTTCCCTGCCTCACCTCATTCTATCCCAGTGGCCTGCCCAAGTCACCCCAAGTCCAGGCTGACTGCCGCAAGCCTACCTCGTGTTGTTGAAATGAACAGAGCTGGAAGTATTCTTGCTAAATATCAATTAATAAATGGGTTCCACTTCCAGGTTCTCAGAAATGATTCCAGTTGTTTCTGCACTTGTTCTGGGAATTGGCTGGGATACTGAAGGCGTCTCCCCTTCCCTCCCCCGCAGCTGTCTGGGGATGGAATCAGTTGGGGACCTAAGCTTAAAAGGGAGCATGAGGTTAGGAAATCTCATTAGCTGACAATTTAACTACACTCTGATGCTCCTCTAAAGGGTTAGGACAAAGGATACCCCTCCCCCTCTGGTACAGAAAGGAAAAGCCTCCCTCCTCACTCTCACCTCCCTCCCAAATTCCTGCAGTTTGGGGAGCCCTGGAACCCCAGGCCGAGAATTCCTCCCAGGAAGCTTTGCTCAGGGCTTACTTGGTGCGCAGGTTAATGCTTCCCCGCATCTCCATATTGACTGGAGTAGACCTGATCTGGGGGCTACAGCACTTTCAGAGATACCCAGTCCACAAGCCAGGTTAGAAATCACTTGGAAGCCTTGGCTAGCGTTTCATGCCAGGGACGGCTGCCTGTTGGAGGTGTGCAAGCCACCTGGGCGACAGGCCAGAGAGTTTGGTTTTTATAGAACACCAGACTTGGCCTTGAAAAAGATCCATGTTTTTGTTTCCAGTTATTTGGTTATTGTATCAAAAGCATAGCTTAGCGTGTGAGAGTGTATGTTTTGAGTATATGTATGAGTATGTACCCTTTCAAAGGAAAAAGCAATTCAGTTGTTCCTTTGGGTGTGAGATGATACTAGGGTTTGCACTCAGGGCTTCATGATCTCCCTCAGCTATGTATTTGTGTGTGTGTGTGTGTGTGTGTGTGTGTGTGTGTTTGCGCGCGTGCCAGTCCTGGGGCTTGAACTCAGGGCCTAGGTGCTGTCCCTGAGCTTTTTTGCTCAAGGCTAGTGCTCTACCACTTAAGCCACAGCTCTACAACTGGTTATTTGGTGGTTAATTGGAGATATGACTCTCAGCACTGCTCACAGTGGCTTCAAACTGTGATCTTCCTTAGCTTTAGTTCCCCTAGGCTGGTGCTCTACCACTTATTTGAGCATACATCCACTTCTGGCTTTTTGCTGATCAACTGAAGATAAGAATCTCATGAACTTTACACTCCTGGCTGGCTTTGAACTGCCATCCTCAGATCTAAGCCTCCTGAGTAGCTAGGATTACAAGTATGATTCACTGGTAGTTGGCTTTACAGTTTAACCAACTGTGTTGGCATCACTTTCAGTTCCATAAAACAGAATAAGTGTTCTGATGGACCAGAAAAAGAGGTGGGATTTATGAATCAAGAAGGGCTTAAAGAATGCAGAAAACAAACAAGCAGGTTGGTCATATGAAAACACATTTTATTTTCCACATTGAACAGGCAGGTAGAAGGTTTCTTTTTTTTGTTTTTTTTGGGTCAGTCCTGGGGCCTGAACTCTAGGCTTGGGCGCTGTCCCTTAGCTGTTCAGCTCAAGGCTAGTGCTCTACCACTTGAGCAATAGTGCCACTTCCGGCTTTTTCTGCTTATGTGGTGCTGAGGAATTGAACCCAGGGCCTCATGCATGCAAGGCAAAGCGCTCTACCACTGAGCCACCTTCCCAGCTGAGGGTATGTTTTTACATATGGTTCTTTGTCCTTTTGTTTTCCGTTTTTTTTCTCCCCAGAAAAATCTGATCTTCAAAGCTCCAGCAATCCTTTTCTCTTATTTTTCCACCCCAAATTTGAAGTTATTTTTTTTCTTTCAACATTCCATTTTATATAACTTCTGTTTCAAAGAAAAAAAAATCCTCTGTGGTCATTGTGGGCCAAATCACTTATTTGGAAAAATTAAAGGGAAAGAAAGGAGGCCCTGAGAAATAAAGCAGCGCTCAGCAAGGAACAGAGTGTTTCAGGCTGAAACAATGATCTAGTGTAGGAGTGAGGCCATATTGATGGTTAGACACAGTGTTGCCCTTGAGCCTCCCTCTCAACCTCCAGGCACCTTGGTCCACACCCTTGCTGCATAAGCTCTCCTCTGTTCTCCTGGTCTCCAGGGCCTTCATTAAGAAATTCACAAGGGCTGGGGCTGAGGTATAGGAATTAGAGAGATTCTTGCAGTACTGGTAGATTCTCCTAGAATATTTGGAAACTCTGTGTGTGTATGTGTGTGTGTACAGTACTAGGCTTGAATTCAGGGCCTTACACTCTTGCTTAGCTTTCTTGTTCAGGACTGGCACTTTACCACTTGAGGCACATCTTCTGGCTTTTTTTTTTACTGGTTAATTGGAGGTAAGAATCT